GATCTTTGAGAAAGTATTATCAGAGAACAAAAAATACTGATATTCAGCAGTAGCACTAATGTTGTGCATATATAATGTTGTCCATATTCACATGAAAATAACTACTGTGATTCCATGTTGTAAACTACTAAGTAGGGAAGATACTCTTTGCCTCCTCTTCCTTCCCTGACTATTCATCAACAAAATGACATCTTAAAAAAATACTGCACTTGAATGACATATGCTGCAAGAGCGATGCAGGAACCTTGACAGTGGTGCTTATATTCCAAAATAACATAGGAATAACGACATGGGACCAGTTATATTCCAAGTCTTAACACACTTACATGTCCTCAGCTGACATCTTCATTACTCCCACACATAATGCATGTTGTTTTCCCTCTGCCATTATTGCCTACAAATTACTGCTAAGGAAAACAGATTTTTTTAAAAAAAACTATTTCAGAAAAGGTAAAGCAATATGAAGAAACAACTTTCCAAAAAGTTTCAAAATCCCATGTTGAACTTTGACCCTTTCAATAATTCTATGGTTTTAGCTCTTAAAGATAAGCAAAACAATGCACTGCATTTAACAATTGAATCACAGTGTGTAGAACAAAGCATGTATTTATGAACTTTGAACAGCAATTACAGAAAAAGATCTTCCATCACTACACTCTATTTCTTCCTTTGTGCCTAACACAGAGATGGCAATCTCACCCTCTCTGGAATAAAACTGCACATGTTTGTGGGGCCATTTCAGAATCCAAGGTACAGAAGAATTGAGACACAAACCTAAAAACCTTTAAGTACTAAAATCAGACATGTCCTTTTCAAAGCTTAGCAACACATGATGCTAGCTGATCTTTTCCTACAGCATCTAACCAACAACAAAAGCAGCACAGCTTGGTATTATTAATGCTGAATTTGCTCAGGCTTCCTTTCTCAGTAATATAATGAGGAGTTAATTAGCTTACTTTCCTCATTTCACACATGCTAATTTCATCAGACACACAGACCAAGTCCTGACTACATCCTTCCAAACTCCCTAGGAACAGGAGCAAATTCTTCTGTAATTGAAGGAGATAGAAGATCGATTGAGAAGGCAGGGGACAAATTGCACTGTATCTCATCTATTTTTACAGCTCTGCATAAAATCACAAAAGACCTCCACTTATCAATTAGATTAATGAAACAGCATCCCACCCAACAGCACAGCAGGAAGAGTTATTTGATTTGGAACACCACAGTAGGTTAAAAAAAAAAGTTAAGAACAATTTTAAGCTTGTCAAATAACAGCTGAACCTCTGCAGCTCTTTTCAAATTACTAGTTACTCCATGAAATACCATGAAAACCCAAAGTAATTCAGATTAAGATCAGCTGAGAACACAAGAACAGAAATTTAACTCATCTCACAGCAAGTAGTAATTCTCAGTTAAAGAAGGATACAACAACAGTATCAACGGCAGCAGGGTAAAGTTTTGCTCCAGGAGATGTCAGGCCAGGGCACATTATATTAGCTCCACTTAGTACAAATTTAATGGCGCCTTTATCAACCTGCTGATGTGGTAGAATAAATGGGTCTAGGAGGGGAAAGAGACAGCATTACAATTAATATGATAAGATGACAACATAACTCATTACTAAGTCAGTTTTGATGGGGCAATTAGATAGAGAGTGTGCTGTGAGGGTAGGAAGTTTGAGAAACAATTACCAAAGCTCCTGCTGGGCTGTACTGTCCTGAAAGGACACAAGTACTGTTCTCCCAGACCACATCTTTTATCTGAGAACCAAAGGGTAACCCAACACTAGGCCTATGCCTCCTGCATACTCATGTACCAAGTAACAATTTTAACAAGTTCCCCCACTGAAAACAATCACACAAGTGCCCACATACTAAGAGTTCTTCAAACCAAGGCGTCTTAAATCCCTCAAATTACATGTATAACCTCTTACATGAAAAAGAAACAGTTTAATGTTAACAGGACAATAAAGGCAAAGATGTACACAATTCATGAAGACTGTCAGCACTCCAAGCCATCCTTCAAGTGCACACACCTTCTTGAAGTATTTCAAACTGAGATTTGATTGAATAACATTTTTAGGGACACATGCACCTATCCAAATCAGAGTAACACAATCAAGCAGAAGAGTGAGAACAGCAAGAAAAATAATGAGAGAGTAAAAAGCACGCAGCATAAATTCTTACAGGAGACAAGTATACATTGCATCATACAATTCATGATTAAAGAATATTTTTCTAGTAAGAACCTAGAAGTATTTGGAAAGAAGAAAATAAGGCTTTAAAGGAAGACCTGAAAGAACAAGATAGAGACTAACAACATGAAATTTAGATCTCTCTGCTAGGGAAACTTCTCTCATTATTTTTTGCAGATTTGCATAGTTTAATTCTTACAAATCAAAATTCAGATTACTTAATATATAGCATTACAATAAATATGGGAGAAGCAACTCATATAGGCATCTGAAATAGCAAAGCAATAAATTACATTTCAGAATGTACAGTGTATCTTCAAAATCTACTCTGGAATATATATACACACACACACATATATATATATATATATATATATATATGTGTGTGTGTATTAAGTTCTTCCTAATTCGGTTCCAGAGAAGTCCTAGGGAATTACATGCTCACCTCTCCCCCCACCACTACCATCCTCAGGAAACTTACATTTGTGAAGCAACCTTAGTGTTGGGTAAAAAATCCCTTCTCTTTGTCTGAAGAACAGCAACTCCCCATTCACAGTGAGGATTTCTATATGTTCATGACTGCAAGATTAAAGAAAAAATATTTCAATAGCTACTTAACCCTTTTATAGTTTAATTTAATCACTGTATTTCAGAGTCCAGTCTGTGTTGGCATCTGAGAATTAAGACAGGCAATTAGCAGGAAAATTTAAAACTAAAAATACTATCTTTTTTAATAACTTGCTATTCAACACTAGCCTCCTGCACACTTCCTTCCCCTTTAAAAATAAGAAAGAAAAAAAGAAAAAAAACTACAGATAAACATCCAGCTGTACAAAGTGTACTACTACTTTGCGGGTTTTTTAAATGCAATACAAAAGGGTAGACAAGGAGAATCGGCAAAAATATACTACCCTCTATTTTAAAAAATAAAATAAAATAATACAGATAATATATGGAAGCCCAAAAACAGTAAAATACTACTGGAAGTTTTGTGAACAAGTTTGAACTTCCCTATCTCTACAGCTGAATGCTTCCCTTCAACAACAGCCTGATCTCTGCACAGTCCCCAAATATTTTGCACATTCAGTACAAGGCAGGGCTTTTGTTTTCCTCAAACTTCCTACCAGCAAGCCTTGAAGAGCGTGGTGAGCACATGCAAACTTTCTAGTTTGGCCAAAACAGACTATTAAGAAATGACAGATGCTTTTCAAAAACACTAGGTTCAGCTACTATACAAAATAAACACACAGAGGAAGCAATCCTAGCACCTTGGAAGCAAAGTTTAAGAGAAAAAAAAAAACTTACCATCTTACTATTTTGACTGGGTCTTTCTTTGGCATAATTTGGTTTAGCCATGGTTCAATAACAGGAAACTGGTCTATCAGTTGATTCTTAATACCTTTAATAACTGAAGTCTTCAGCTGGATGCAGTTTGATACATTCTCTTTTTCATCAAATCTGTCGAGTGAGTGAAAGCGTTTCAGAAATGCACAATTTGCTGCCCAAAAGGTTATGTATCTCAGCAGCATTTTTCAGAAATGTTTATAAATTAGCTGTAAACCCTCAGCGCTACCACATCTGTCCAACTTTCAGATCTAGGATTTCATAAGACTTAAATCTGTCCCCTGGGAACACTGGGTTGAGTGAAGGCAATAGTAGGCTGTCTTGGTCCCTAAGTCTTATGTACATCCATGAAATGTGTTTTTAGGCTCACAGACGCACCTTGGCACACAAGGACGTTTCATTCAACTCGTAGAGCAGACTTTGCTGGTAACACTAACACCTATAGCCTTGTTCTGATGTACTTATAAGTCCTTCCCCTTTACCACAGAGGCATGAACCGCGCTTTGTACCACCCCAAGGTTCAGGCAAGTTAAGGACTGAGCTCCCTTTTTGGTTCTTTTTCTTTTAACCAGCAAGTGCCCAAGCCCCCCAGGCCAGCGCGACAACCGGCAGAGCTGATGGCTGCGGGCTCGGCCCCGCGCCCCAAGGAGGCCGCGGCGGCCAGCGGGGAGCGGGACCGGCGGCTCCCGCCCTGCCCCGGCCCCCGAACAGGGCCCGCCGGGCGAGCGGGGAGCCCGGGCCGGCAGGGCCGAGCCCCGGGGCGGAGGGGACGCGGGGCCCGCCCCGCTCCCCCTTCCCCCAACCCCTTCACCCCCTCGCCCCCCGGGGGCGGCGGGGCCCGGCCACACTCACTTCTTGAACATCCTGGGGGCGGTGGGTGCCGGGTGGACGGGTGGCTGCGGGCGGGCGCGGGGCCGGCGGCGCGGGCACCCACGGCCTCCGCTCTCCCTCACACGAGGCTCCCAGGGCCTCCCCTCGGCGCCAGCCGGAAGCACCGCGCGCTTTACGGCCCCGTCGCGCTGCTCCGTGACACCGGAACGCGCGGAACGTCACCGGGGGCGGGGCGGGGCCGTCCCGGGAGCCACCGCCCCCCCGGGGCCGTCCCGCCGCGTGTCGAACCCGGGCATCCCCCCATCCCCGGGGGAGCGCGTGCCCCGTTCCGCCCAGCCCGGGCCCTCCGCCGGAGCGCCGGCACCGGCCTCTCCCGCCAACCGGGCGCTCGTTACTCGCTAAAATACATCTTTTAAAAGAAAATCAAAGTACCGGTAAGTGCTGACAGCGGTTAAACACAAAGTACTTCTAACAGGAGGGAAGGAAACAAACTCAGCCGCCGTCAAATCAGCGAAGCAAGAAGCTGCACTCCCCTCCCTCCCCCCCGGTTCCAGAACAGGGCACAAAACCCTTTCGACAGCATCCGGAGATATAATAATAATAATTAAAAAATACTTTTCTTGTCAAACAGCAGATACCGGAGCGGGCCGGGGAGTGGGTTGGAGGTGCCGGATCCTTCGAGCAGCAGAAGACGCCTGGCCTGCAGCAACGACCCCAGCGGCCAGAGACGCGCGCTGGGGAAGGCAATTACGCTACATGGTGTTCGTTAGAATCAAACTAGGTTTTGCTTGGTGATGGCTGCAGTAATTGTGAATATTAATAGAAAAGCGTAGATCAAGGGAATTTACCGTACTGCTTTTTGCCTCCCTGAGGAGCAGACATGCATGTTGCTGTTCTCCAGGCAGGCAGCTGCTCTAAGCACCCGTACAGGCAGCCGCACGGTTTGTTTTTAGAGTAGTGGCAAAGTCACCACTGACATAAAGGGGAGACAGCAGAGGATATAAAAGCCCAGGTCATCACTTATGGTAACTACCAAGTTCTTTTTTCCATACCAAACAAATTATTCACCTTTCACACTATAACAACTAATTACAACCTAATACTTGGGAGTTACATCAGTCATACAAAGTCAAATCAAGTCTTTATACATGGTATCATTTATTTACATAGTGAAATACACAGTCAGGAACACATGCACAACTTTTAAAAAGAAGAGAAATGAACTATGGCATTCTATAAATAATCAGGCATTTAACTCATGAATGCCACCTCCACCTACTTTGTAGGATCACTAAAAATACTGAGCTATAATCAAGAATTCAGTTTTAACCGAAACACAGTGACATTGCTCATGCTCAGATTAGAAAGCGAGAACAGGAGTTTTTCACGCTGACAAACTATTCCATACATTTTTTTGTGCTCCTCGGAATCACTTTTATTAAATAATATTTTGTCAAATAAATAATCCTTGCAGGTGTGTTCACATTTTTTAAAAACTGTACTGAAAAATTCATCATAGTCCCACCTCAAGTGTTAGAAACGAGGTACTTTTACCCCCAATGACCCCCAATAAATAGGGCACATCTCACTGAAACCACGTGAACTGCTGGCTTCGTGCCAGCCTAAACCAACAGGATTAATTATAAATTTTCAAAAATGGCTTTTGTCAACAAGCTCTAATCGCCATTCTTCTGCTACCTTAAAGCACCTGGACCACTGGCTGAGCCAACCTTGACTGTGGTCTCAACATCTCCATCTTCTCTTCCAAATGCTTTTTGTTGGTGCAGCTGCAAGGACTTCAAGGCCAGCTCACTGCTTGTGTACAGCAGATTTTTGAAGAAGGCTCTGAGTGCCCAGACTGGAATATCATAATACAGCTCTCATTATTACTGTTCAGCCTCACCACCAAAAAGCTGGAGATGTTTGCTCTGGTTACAGTGTCACTTTTAAGCAACAGAATTTTAAATGCCTCGTGCCTGGATGAAGCTGCCAAAGCAAGAGGCAAATCCAGCAAATGGCTTTACAACCCCTCCAGCTTCGACAGAACCCTCAGGATCATAAACTAAATAGAATTAGAATCTCTCCCCCTATATGTTTCAGGGGGAAAAGGGCAAAATCCATTGCACTTGGCTTCCTCCTGGGTCCCCAGGGCTTTACCTTGCCTTCCCCCCCTCTCCCACCTATCCCAGACCATGACTGGTCAGGAGCTGTGTATTCCAACTGACAGGATAGAGCCACTGACTTCTGTATAGGAATGACTGCATGGACAGGATAACCCTGCTTCTCCAGGAAAAGGGACACTTAACTCATGCTTCCTCTTTTATAAATCCAGTCATTTTCACGAACCAAGAATCTGTAGAAATTGAAGATCTCTTACATCTCTACACCTTTTACCTAATTTGGCTTGAGTGATCACGACAGTTGCTGGGAACAGAGGAAAACTTGACAGCATAATCATGTAAGTTTTATTTATTTAGCAAACATGTTTATTTCTGTTACATCTGACTTGGAATGTAACTCATTAGTGCTTGGGAACTATACAACCTGTTCAAAAGCCAGTCAAAACCAGACTGAAGCTTTTTTTTTTTTTTTTTAATCTGGGAAAAGTACTTTTCTACACATCACCAGCATTACATTTCAGGCCTCAGGAGCTGTCTGCTGGTTACTCAGAAATCATGTTCCAGAAAAACCTCAGTAATATTACACTCACATCTATATGAACCGCAGTTTCTGTCAAGACAAGTTAGCATATCTTTTTCTATCAAACACAGAACTGCCAACAGCCTTCCCCCAAGGAGCTCTGCTGTCAGGAAGGCACGTGTAAGCTCTCGGATGAAGTCCTTGGAGAATCTTTTCTGGAACAAAACCTCGTTGCTTGTTTTCTTACTTTTTTCGCAGCTATTTCTCAACAGTGACTGAATCATAACAACACTCCTGGAGAGTTCACATTTCCTTTGGTAACAGATACAACAGCATCAAAAAAGAGCCACTAAAGGGCCATGATTTCTATTTTGAAAAACAAAAAAAAAACAAAACAACAACAACAAAACCAAAACAAAACAACAACAAAAAAAAACACAAAAAAACCCAACAACCCTAGGCTTTGGGCCAATTCAAGTCCAGATATGTTAAAATCATATCAAAAAGTTGACACTAAATGTTTAGATGTAAGAAAAACAATTTCGAAAGTAAGCTAACAGGCTGAAGCACTCAACTTGACCGCAGGCTCAGAGCAGAGGGCCCGAGCTCTACCTAAACCCAATTTGGTCCCACATTTACCTCAGCCGAAGTCCCCACGGCAAGCGAAAAGCCGGGCTTCGGCCTCCTACGCGCCCCTGCGAGGTCTGCCCCAGCGCACGGGCACCGACCTGCGCCGGCAGCCGGGGCCGGAGGGGCGGGTGAGGGTCCGGGCAGCCGCCGGCGGCTGCTGAGGGCGAGTGCGGTGGCGGAGCCGCGCCCGCCCGCGGGGGCTGAGGAGGCCGGCACGCACGCGCCGCCCCCGAGCACGGGGCACGAGGAGGAACAAACCCCGCCCCGCTCCGCGCTCCCGCCACGCGGAGGGCGGCGGCTACGCCCCCTTGCCCGCAGGGCGCGCTCGGGGAAGTGTGTGGGGGGGGGGTGTAAGGAGCGCGCCCGTTCCGAGCGGCCGGGCAGCCATGATTACTTCCGGTGGGTCAGAGGGCAGCGGAAGAGAGCGGGGGGCGCCGGCGGGAGCGGGGGTGCCGTGCCGGAGGTTGGGCCCGCCGCCTCCCCGTGCCGCCCGGCCGCGCTTCCGGGCGGCCGCGCCCCAGCATGCACGGCGACCGGATGTGCCGCCATCTTTAGGCTCCCTCTCTGCCGTGTATTGACAATAACAAGCCCCGGGCCGGGCTGTCCCCCCTCAGGAAGCGCGAGCAGGAGGCAGAGAGGGGGGCGGCGGGAGCCCCAGGAGAGCGGGCCGCGGGAGGAGAGCGGGCCTGGTGGCGGCGAGGGAGCGGGAGGCGTGTAGGGCCAGGGGCTGGAGCCGAGGCGTGAGGGAGCCGCACTCAGCCCTCCCCACTGCTGCTCGGCGGAGACGAGGCGGTCGGAGCAGGAGGGGAGCGGAAGGAGAAGCTGGGGGAGCGGGCAGCTGTGGGGAGCTACTGGTGTTGGAGAGAAGAATTGAAAGAGACTGGTGGGTGGCAAGAGGCAGGAACGGAGACACTCTCCTGAGAAAGAAGTAAAAGCAGAGACAAACTACGGCAAGAAACAAAGTAGTAAAGGAAACGGGAAAAGAGGAGAGAAAGTGATTCCTCCGAGAAAGAAGAAAGCGAAGGAGAGGGGATACGGAAGGACTCCACTGATGAGAGAGAGGAGTTGAAAGACACTCCCCCGAGAGCCACTAAAACAGAGACTGACTCTCAAACTCTCTCTCTCTCTGTCACACCACAAGGATTTGATGCCCCTCAGCCTGTTCACTTCTGTGTGTTCATGTTTCCCACAGGTTTCTCTTCCCCCAACCCCCCAGCAGCAGCCCAGGAGGTCAGACCTGCCACTGATGGTAATACCAGCAGCAGCTCCTCCTGCAAGAAGAGAAAGTTAAATAACAGCAGCAACAGCAACTCTGAAAGAGAAGAATTTGATTCCATTTCTTCCTGCGCCTCTTCTCCTTCCAAAAACACCTCTTCATCATCTTCCTCCGTCATCACTGCCTCCTCGTGCTCCTCCTCAGGGGTTGCCTCCTCTAACCATCATCTCCAGAAGAAACTGCGCTTTGAGGACTCCGTGGATTTTATTGGACTCGATGTGAAGATGGCTGAAGAGTCGTCTTCCTCCTCCTCTCCAGCTGCCTCTTCTCAACAGCAGCACCAACAACAGCTCAAAAATAAAAGCCTTTTAATTTCGTCAGTGGCTGTGGGGCACCATGCAAATGGCCTGACCAAAGCTGCCTCCTCTACTGTTTCCAGTTTTGCCAACAGTAAACCTGGCTCCGCTAAGAAATTAGTGATCAAGAACTTTAAAGGTAACAGGCCATAATTTGTCACAACCTATGGGGCGCTGGCGCTCAACTTCGTGTTTTGTTTTCAACATGAAAACCGGTTAGCTCTCAAATAGCTCCAAGTTTTACAGGAAATGCTTTTCTGTGGTGAACGTTTCTATACTTATGAAAGGGGGAATAGTGTTTTATGATGCATACTTGCCCAGTCATGTACACATCCTGAGCTACACTTTGCTGCTTGGGATTATTTTCCCGACTCCTTTCACTCTGTCTCCTTGAAAGAAGGCCGTCAGTTGTATGTTAGACAAAAGGTTTTACTACAGAAGTGTGTAAATTGCCTTTCTTCAAACTTTTAACGTTTGATACCTTTTTTCTAGTAATTCTGATTCAGGTCATAGTATATGTGCTAGCCCAGTTTATGATAAATCTATGCACAGAATGCATTTTTTTAAGTTGGGCCTGAGTCTGTATGTCTTGCCTGCATCTGCATTGTCTGTTTATAGGTTAATCTGCTTGTGCTTAGTTTTAAATGCTGAAACTAAGGTGATTATCAGGCTATTACGGCAGATTTCCTTTCTGGTTTCCCCACTTCCCTTTGAAGTAGGTAGTTCAGATTTTTGCTGAGTGATTTCTTTGCAATATCCTTACTGTAATTTTTATTATTTAACTCTTTAATGTCTTTTCTCTGTCTTAACATACTCTCACTTTACAAGCTTATATTACTTCATAAATTCTCTCAGAAGGTGTGTTTGAGATTCTCGCGTGTTGTTACTAGAGACCAACTGAAGCAGAGAAATTGCTGCTGTGATGCTGCTTAATTTTCTAGTAAGCAAAAATACAAATAGGCGTAGACAGAAAGCTTAGCTAAAATTCTGTCTGTCTTTTTTTCCCCCTATGAAGACTGGGAAATCAGCTTTTCTTACTTTGTGCCTCGTCTTCTAAAATAGTCCCATACCTTGCTTTCTTGGGTTGTTTTTCTTTTTCCCCACATGTTTGGGGGTGTGGGGAGAGGAGAAGATAGCACTGATGTTAAAGTTAATTTCTAAATACATAATTGATATAGATGTTCTGTAGAAATACCGTGGAAGGTAAGGATTAGGATTGTTTTACAGAAATTTATGATCACAGTGTAACTTTTTGCTTTAGGGTGCTCCTAATGCTTAAATATGTTCTCCGCCCATCAGGTCATCATCATTTACTTTGACATATTATTTTAAAATGTATACTTTCAGTGCATGATAGTGAGAAATAAATTCCAATCTTCTGTTGCTTGTACACTGTTATCTTTAAAGGAAGTCAACTTTTCATGTTTAAAATATTTGTTGAATGTCATGGATTGCATGGTGCTGTGATCATCATTACTTACAAATTGGTATTTGAGTCACTTGCTTAAAATGGATGTGTCTAGAATCTGTCAGCTTTGCTTTTTATTTAATCTCAGATGCTAAACTGAGAGTAAGTTTAAGATTGTCTTTCTCTTGGTATGATAACAATAACGTCCTTTACAACTTAAGTAACTTCCTAAAATCCAGAATCTTGTTATTTACTGCTGAGTAGCATACTCATTAGTTGCTAGCGAAAATAGGCAAGTCTTACTTCTAGTTAGTTGTCTCTCTAGATTCTTATGATACAGCTAATGTTGGGATATTGCCAGTATTGTAGGGAAGTGCTTGGGAGGACAAAAAAAAATTAGTTCTTTCTGTGTGTTATTTCTAGAGGAAGTGTAAAGATTCACGATTTGTTTTTTACCTTTAGGTATGTAAAAGTCAATTTTAATAGAGTATAAACTCTGGGCCAATTTCACCTGTTGGTGGCACAGATGTGCATGTGCCTTCCTCTGAATTTTCTCCTCCTTCCTTCTCTATTTGGTAATGTGTTTATTGGAACAAAAATGGTCATGTTAGTTATGAGAACACAATCTTAAAATAGTCTTGGTATTCAGAGGAATTGACTCCGGGAATCTCTTTTAGCCTGTTGTAAATGCTTTAGTCTTGTTGAAGATGCTGCACAGCAGGGGCATCTTTAGAAAAGAAGCTGAAAAAAATAATGGGAAGAGTAAAATCTGCAAAGCTTGAGCTATTTGAACATTAAAGGAGCGCTTAGCTCTAACAAATACCCACTGGCCAAACCCAAGAGAGATGTAAATGGATTACTTTAAAATAGGAAGGTTTGCCTTGTGACCATAAAGCTTGTATTATAATTATGGTATTTCCATGCATGTTTCTTGAGGCTTTCTTTCCCACTGTTAATACAGATTAGAATTAATGAGCAGTAAATTTAAAAAGTAAGCTATACACAATTCTGTATCTTTTAATCCATCATTTTTGGCTTTTAATGTTCACTTTTTCAGCTCTGCTGTCCTCGTAGTGAAAAAGAGTGTAGTGAAGGTGTAGATCATTCATGCCAGTTTTTAGCCTTTATCCCTTCTTGAGTTACTCAGACAGGGTATTGTGATTTTTATAAATTGCACATACTGTTTGGATCCTATGATGTGTATGTGAAGAGCAATGCCCAATTCTTACAATGTGTTACTATTTAAAATGTAAATAAGATACTGCTTTTACACGAATGCTTTCTTTTCATATAAGTATAAATTAAAATCTAGAGCATCAGCCCATACCTCTTTCTACTCGAAGCTACGTTTTTAATGTCTTCTTTTTCTAAATGCTTTCTCACTCTAAATAATTTCTTTTAAAGATAAACCCAAATTGCCTGAAAACTACACAGATGAAACCTGGCAAAAACTGAAAGAAGCTGTAGAAGCTATCCAGAACAGTACTTCAATTAAGTACAATTTAGAGGAGCTCTATCAGGTAAGTGCTTTAAGTAAAAGCAATGGGATAGGGCTTTTTGTTTTGTTGGGGTTTTTTGCTTAAAACACTTGATAAGGTGGTAAGAATATGACATTTTGCTTGATGGCTGCTTTTGTCATCGAAGAACTTTTCATCTAATAGTTTCTCAAATTTTAAAATCATCAGTAAAAATTTCACAAGACCTACATTAAAATCAGAAATTTTTTACTTGCCACAACATAATCCAAAGTATGGTTCCTCTTGCAGCAGCTGACAAAAATAACGCAAGAAGCTGTATTCACTTTACTGTTTTGGGGTTTATGCTGTGTGGCTGCTAAAGGAGAAATGTGAAATCCTAGAATGTTGGTGGTTAGGTGAGAAAAAGAGGATTTATATTAAAATATATTTTTTTTCTGAAGGCAGTATCTGCTTATGATTGAGGATCATAAATAATTTAAATCTGAAACTTTTTATTTGACTTCTTAAAAGTAAATAGAATACTGGTTTTCTTCATGAACTGTATTCTTTTGGTTTGATTGTAATTTTTTTATCATTCAGCATTCTGTCTATTCTAACAACTGAGAATCAAAATTTATTCCCAGCAACAGCTCTGATTGTTTTAGGAAGTGATCAGACTTGAACTGCATTTCCGAACTTTTTTTTATAAGCTCCACTTCTGCTTTTTCAGCTGAATGTGTTGGGGAGACTTCTCCCCCCTCCTCACCTTTTCCCTGCTAACACGTTGGTACGTGCAGTTTTAGCAGCCTAGCAACAGTGCTGCTTTAGCTTGGTATTAAGAAGCGCTTACACTTTTTACTCTTAAAGCCTTTTTTACCTGGTTAGTTGTTTGATT